CTTAGAGAAGAGTAAGGCGTCTACGTGTCTGACCTCAGGGAGAAACAGCCCCTCTTAGTGAGGCTAAAACACGTGTCAAACCGCAACACACACACACACACACACACACACATGTACCATCTAGCGTTACTCCCCACATTGCACAATGTTGCCTAACAAATACTTTCGACAGTTCTACCCTCCCCCGATAGGCTGTACCCCACTCCGACAGGCTGTACACCTCCTCCGATAGGCTGTACCCCTCCGACAGGTACTTACTCCGACAGTTCCACCCCTCCAAAGACAAGCTCCACCCATTCAAAATCAAGCTCACCCACTCGACAAGCTCCACCCACTCAGACAAGTTCCACCCACTCAGACAAGCTCCACCCATTCCGTCAAGCTCCACCCTTCCGACAGCACACCCCGCTCAGACAAGTTCCACCCACTCAGATAAGCTCCACCCATTCCAACAAGCTCCTGCCCATTCCATTAGGCTCACCCTCCGACAGGTCACCCACTCAGACAAGCTCCACCCCTCCGTCAAGCTCCACCCATTCCAGCAAGCTCCACCCACTCCATTAAGTTTCACCCACTCAGACAAAGCTCCCACCCACTCAGATAAGCTCCACCCATTCCAACAAAGCTCCCGCCCATTCAGAGCAGGCTCCACCCCACTCAGGACAAGTTCCACCCCCTCAGACAAGCTCTACCCACTCAGATAAGCTCCACCCATTCCAACAAGCTCCACCCATTCCGACAGGCTCCACCCACTCCGACAGGTTCCACCCACTCAGACAAGCTCCACCCACTCGGACAAGCTCCACCCACTCCGACAAGCTCCACCCACTCCGACAAGCTTTACATGGTGGACTTAGAAAGGCGTATCAATTTCAAGCGATCTTATTGGCTGGTAATATTCTGGTTGGGACTTAGGTATCCCTTAGGTTAGGTTAAGAATTCAGGTCCGGTTCCTTTCGTGGTCAAGGGAACAGGAGGAGGGATCTGGCTTCCTCAATAGGATATCTTGAACATAATTATTTTTTTTTTAGTGATAATGATCGAAAACTGACTGACTGACTGACTGGCTGACTGACACACACACACACACACACACACACACACACACACACACACACACACACACACACAAACGGGATAGATGATGGCAAGAAAGACACCGAGAGGACAAAACTGTGTGGCTTCTGTCAATTTAAGTCCCCCAGCTCTGTTTCTGTCCATCTGTGTACTGTACACTTCCGTCATTGACAGGCTGACAGGAAACGATATAAGAACATTTCTAACAAAACCAGACTCTACTAAAGGCTATGACAAGATTTTAGAAACGTAAAAAGGAAAACGAAATTAAAAATCCTCTTCCCATTTTCGAAGAGGAAGAAATAATCAAAGAAAATGTTGTTTCAGAGGAGGGGAAACTAAAGTGGACGAAAATAAAGATGCGGTGAGTTCCCAGCAGCTGGTTTCTGAGAGTCTACTTAATAATTTACTGACCTGCTGTTCGAGTGGCCTAACCTCCTCCACTAACTCCCTCTCTTCCTCTCTCTCTCTTTCTCTCTCCATCTTCCTCAATTCTCTCCCTCCTCTTTTTCTCTCTCCTCCGTCCCCTACCTCCTTCTCTTTTGCTCTCTTTCTATGTCTTTTCTTTAGCGTAGATTCCCTAGTAACACTCTTTCTTCCCTTGACCTTTCTTATCCCTCTCTTTCCCTATCTCCTTCCTTCCTTTTCCTTCTGTTCTTACTCGATCTCTTTCTCTCTCTCTCTTCTTTCTTTATTCATCTCTCTTTCTCTACCCTTCTCTCTCACTGTCTCTTCCAATCTTCCTTTACCTTTCCTCCACATTTATCAAGTCTTACGTTTCACCAGTCTTGATATCCTTGCCTTCCTCTTCTTCATCATCTTATTATCATGTTATCCTTCCCATATCCTTTGTTTTCCTTTTCTCTTTCTCCTTCAATTCTTCATCTGCTTCATTCCCCTCTTATCCTAGTTCTCTTTCTTACTCCTTTTACTCTTGGTCTTCCTCCTCTTCTTCCTTGTTCTCCTCCTATGCCCCCCCTCCTCCTCCTATTTCTGTTCCTATTATCCTTTTCTCCTTTCTCTATCCCTCTCTCAGTCTTTCTTTCCCTCCCCCCTCTCTCTCTCTCTCTCTTACACCACTCTTATTATTGTCTCCTAATTAATCCTTATCTTTCAACAAGTTTCTTCCGTACGATGGTGGTTGGTGATGGTGGTTGGTGATGGTGGTTGGTGATGGTGGTTGGTGATGGTGGTTGGTGATAGTGGTTGATGATAGTGGTTGTTAGTGGTTGGTGATGGTGGTTGGTGATGGTGGTTGGTGATGGTGGTTGGTGATGGTGGTTGGTGATAGTGGTTGATGATGATGATGAGGGTTGATGGTCATGGTGACTAGTGAAAGTGACTGATGGTGACCTGATGATGAACCAAAGTTTCAACCAATTATAGTCCTCTCTCAAATTATCAATATCATCTACTTTCTTTATCGCAAATGTCACCAAAATTCTTGACCTTTACGAAAAAGTTATTTTCTCACCTTACACACCACAAAAATCCTCTGTTCCTTAGGTCAGATGAAGCTCAACCTAATAACTACTCGAAAAAAAAAGAAGTAACAGGTTGCGCATGCCTATGTGTGTGTGTGTGTGTGTGTGTGTGTGTGTGTGTGTGTGTGTGTGTGTGTGTGTGTGTGTGTGTGTGTGTGTGTGTGTGTGTTAGTTCTCATTATTATACACGGGGGCAAACCTTGTATTTCCTCACCTGGAAACCCAACTCACAATTTTTTTTTTAAATGTAAACATGACTAAAATCTACATATACATAAAGTATATCTCTCTACATTTTATACAGAATACATACATATACACAACTGGCTAACCCTACACGTATACACACGAAAATAAATACATGTACACACAAATGAAGCCATGTATGTGCGTGTACGTGTGTGTGTGTACGCAAGGAAACAGCACACGAGTATACACAGGGACTACTTGTTTCTTTACATTCATAAAAAAGTCACGTGTGTACATAGACGAACACCACATGTAGGCCAATAGTACACAAACCCGTATATGTACACATGTATTTTCACGTACGGAGACGCCAGCTGTGTACACATAATGTAATCCACTTATTTACACACAATGATAACCAGTGCATGAACGGACAAGGATAACCTACACGTGTACACAAATTAAGTCCATGTATGTATGCATGTATATATGTACACATTAGAATCACTCATGTGTATGTATAGTATTCCCAAGCAAGAACTCATATTTGCATAATCTAAAGAGCTTATGTGTATGTATACAGGAGAGAAATCTATGAATATGTATAATCTAGAGACCTTATGTGTATGTATACAAGAGATATATGTATGAATATATAATGAAGGAGGACTCTTGTGTATACCTGTTTACAGACGATGAATATACCAACAACTACGTTTGTAAATTGTAAATAAACTTAAGAGTCACACATCACAAGTCATCAACCAAGAACCTGAATTGTAACCTTTTTCTATCTGACAAAATTCTTCAATTATTAAAAAAAAAATGAATCAACCAACTCACATAATTTTTCAAGGTTATTTTCATCACAAGAAAAACTAATTGGATAATTTTTTTTTGGGGGTAGGGTTAATCTCATTTTGATTATTATTATTATTATTATTATTATTATTATTATTATTATTATTTAGTATTATTATTATTATTAGCATTATTATTATTATTATTTTTTTTTTTTGGAAGGGGTTGCTTCTGTTTATAAAATTCAATAAACTTGGCTTTCACAAATCAGTTTTATTTAATATATTATTTTTATTTCTGGAGTTTTTTTTTTGGGCTAAACTAAATTGACAATGATTTTTAAAGGTATTTCTCTCAGTAAACATTCCATTTTTTTTTAATTCCTTGTAGTTTTGGGGGTTGGGATAGCTCTGTTATTTTGGTTGATTATATAACCATTATGAGGGTCGTATATACACACACACACACACGAGTACTGTATATATATATCAATACAAACTCCTTGTGTTGGATATAGGCTCAACGTCTCCCTATATATTTCATTATCTTTTGTTTTTTTGTTTCTTTTGTGTTTTTAATTGTTATTGTTATTATTATTTTATTTTATTTACTTACGTGTTGTCAGGTCACCAAAAGATGGCCCCGACCTACAGTGGTTATCGGTCCAGCCTCTGGTCTCTCACTCATTGATAAATTAATGGGCAGAATTTAGTTAGCAGGTAAGCGTAAAGGAGAAGCCATGGGGGAAAGGTTTTATGATGAATGAGATGCAGGTGGACGAGGTGTGTGTGGGTGTGTGTGGGTGTGGGTGTGTGTGTGTGGGTAGATCGTGTTATAACATGTGTGGTAGACGACGTGTATTAACGCGAGGCAGCAAGTGTATTACTGTGTATTTTAGATAGTATATTAACATTTCTTTTCCTCTTTCTGAATATGTGTATATGTGGGTGTATGTATGTAAATATATATGTGTGTGTATGTGTGTGTGGGTGTATTGTGTATAAATTTGTCTCTATGTATGTGTTTGTGAATATATGTGGAGTATGTGTGTGTGTGTGTGTGTGTGTGTATGTGTGTGTGTGTGTGTGTGGGGTGGATGTGTGTATATAATTATCTCTGTGTATGTGTGTGTATGTGGGTGTATATACAATGTTTGTCTCTGTGTACAGGTGTATGTGTATGTATGTATGTGTGTGTGTGTAAATGTGGATTGTAAGTATGGTCATGCTCTTGTGTCTGTCTATGTATGCAAATGGATGGTTAAAAAGGTTGCGTATACAGGTGCTTAATTATTGTATGAGACGAAAAATATACTGTAGATATGTTATGGTATTGTTTAGAATGTATTGACATGTTTTAATAAGATGTGGTTGAGGGTCATCCCGGGTTTGGCTGTAAATAGAATATATTTATGTTACACAGAGACAGTCAGTATTATGTGAATATTACCAATAGTACTGTGTGGTTCAAGGCTGGCGGTGGTGACAATGCATGATGAAAGGTTTACCATGGCGGCTGAGAGAGAGTGCCTGTAGAGCGGAGAGAAGCGTTACGGCATGCAAAAAAACAACTCTTTTTGGTTAATTAATAGACAAAAAATAATAAACTCTCTCTTTCTCTCTGGTTGTTCTTCATTATTTACATGCAGCATTAATATCTTATTTAATATACAACCTATATGTTAAAAAAAATAAATTATATAGAAAAAATCATAAAGTACACATTTTTGGTGGAATTAATTTGAAGAAAAACATTTGTCTTTATATCATAAGGGGAGAGAAGAAGTTTGGTTCGTCCGTGCCGGCGATCGGGCGCCTGTGGATCAGGGGAAAAAAACTGCCTAGTCCAACTTTAATATGGACATGGTTTGCCACCCCGCTGCCAAAACCTTCACTTTATTTATTTCTTCATTAGCGACACAAGTAATAAGGGAAGGACACGCAAAGATTAGGAGTAGAACAGAACAATATTGAGAACCTGACTAGAGGCTTGGAGAAGTGGTGTGGGAGGAGGTGGTAGCTGGCCACTGATGATGACTGCCCTGAGGACGAAGTCTTAAATCCTCCTGAGTATGAAACTTTAAAGCCTCCTGAATACGAGGATCTTAGGTCTTAGGTACGGAGGTCTTAAGCCCTTGAGCGCGACACTAACCTCTTGAGCGCGACACTAAACCCTTGAGAACGGTGAATGAACCTTTTGGGTACAATACCAAACCTATTGAGTGCGATAACTGAGATCTCTGTGTTCTGTGTTATCGTACTCAAGGGTCATTGTACTTCAAGTGTTAAAACATCGTTCTCAAGGAGTTGTGGCATTGTGCCTAAGGGTCAAGACTTCCTACTTCATTAATATGACCAGTTGCACTAAGGGGTTCATATCTGTTTTTGCTACTGTATAATATAAGCGTATACTGTATATGTTATACTGGGGAGCGTGGATATATAATATGCTTGATCCTTGAGTCTATTAATTATCAAGAATCTGAAACAAATACCATACAATACTTTTCTCTTATATGTATACATATTTGTATGCTTTGTATAGATGTATATATATTTATACCAATGTATAATTACATATACATTCTCATGTTTTTTAATATTACTGAATATAAATTTTCAGTATTTTCTTCACAGTAAAATGCCAATTGGTGAGGCTACATCTACCGCAAGATTTAAGTTATGAAACAGGTATATATTTACTTCAGTTATGTATTTACTCAGTTAAACTATACAGTAACATTCGTGACATACATTGCATTTACAGATAAGATCACCATTGTATTCCTCAGTGATGCCTTGAGGGCATTTAAATAAGCTCTTCCTATGACGTTCTTCCGCCACCTTGTCTCTCTGGGGGTGAGGAAGGAGGGAGAAGGGTAGACAAGAACGCCAAGTCGAGCCTTAAATCAACTCTGTGCTCTCAGTCAGTAGAGAATAATTACAAACTGACGAACATTATCACATTAATAGAGACAGTAAGTGTGTTTTACTGTAGTTGCTCCTCTAATTTCGTTTTCTATTACCTTTTCTTTAGAGAGGGTAACTTCAATAACTTATATGTTGATCTTAAGCCTGAAGGGAACCAATCAAGCCTCAATTTTCTTCTGTTCTAACTCCAATCCTTTTTTCAAATTTCTATGCCTCTTCCCATATTACTTTATTCTCCGTTTTTTTCTTTTCCTTTTTCTATATTTGTATATAAATATTTTTTTTGTATTTTTTTTTTAGATATCAGGTCACGCAACTTGAAGGCTTCATTGCCATGTTGAGAGAGGAATACTCATCTCACTTTAAGATTTTTCACTAAGAATGAATAAAGAATTAATGAATTCCCTTCACCCTTGATAAAAGAACCTTCATTCACCCTTAATAAACCAATAATGAAAGAACTTCCATCATTATTTTGGTGTTAAGACAAAAAACAAAATCCTTACACAGTACTCAGTTACCAAGGAGTTTTAATACTAAGTGAGGGGTATAAGGCGGAGTGGACGTCAAGCTGCGGGACCTGACATGTTTTTTGAACGGGTTTAGTAAATAGATGGGAAAAGTATCATATTTTTTTTTCAACGAAGTTATAATGAAAAAAAAAGAGGGAAAAGTATCATATTTTTTTTTCAACGAAGTTATAATGAAAAAAAAAGAGATTTAAATTCAAGAACTATATCGTCTGATTTAATGATGATGGGTTCAGATGATTTGTGTAACTAGTAGAGAAGTTAGTTAAGACAATGAACAGTTCTAAACACCAATACATCAACACTATTCTACACACACACTTAATATACTCAACAGATTGGACCATGATTGTTATTATTATTATTTTTTGGATACATAAGACGTTGTGATGCCACCCGAGCCGGAAATAATTCCTTCTTAAAAACACGTTCCTTGGTAATATATGACTGAGTGTCAACTAATGTACAAAAAGTAATGTAAAAGAAGAAGTTGCCCAAGGCTCAGTAGGTATCACCTAACTGGACAGTCCACTTTGACGATTTTCTTAACAAATATTCTACAAATACTTTTTTTTTTGCTCTTAAGACTTATATTGACATGAAAATTACTGTAATTTATAGAATTAATGACTAAGAAACTATAACTAGATTCTATTTCTATTTAATATTATGAAATAAATTATAGCTTGAAGCTAATATTGCAATGCAAGAATAACTGGATTAATATGAATATTTTACTCTCATTACATAGCAATAGCTAGTTATATTTTGCAAACTAAAAATCAATATTTTAGAGACTATTGTCTTGTCATTATCAACAGAAAGTTTATTCTGCTATTTATATTCTCAAGACTCATTTTAAATTCATCAAAAATTCTCTTGTGATTTTTTATGAATTAGTATGATTATTATTATCATTTCTGAGTCTCTTTCTTATGACTGATTGTTGTACTGGTTTTGGTTATAGGCAGCAGGGTAACCTACCACGTCTATAATCTGCTGGAGCGTGATCCCGAACAATACATCCACTGGCTCGCCTGTTCGCCACAGGTCTCTCCAGCGGGTTGTAGTTGTCCAGGAGATCATGAAGCAGCCGACGTTCATTATGCCCGCACGCCGCCTCTGTTGGGGAGAGAGAGAGAGAGAGGGGAGAAGGTGTTAGTGAACGAAGCTGAGAAGATTTTAAGAGAAGCAGGTGGTGGGTGTTGGCTGTGGGGGGATTGGCGAGTATTAATGAGATGTTGGGAAATGGTGTGGAATATAGGTGTGGGGCAATGGTGTGTGGCAATGGTGTGGGGCAATGGTGTGTGGCAATGGTGTGGGATGCACATAACTGGATCGGGGCAGAGAGAGAGAGAGAGAGAGAGAGAGAGGAGGAGAGAGGAGAGAGAGAGAGAGAGAGAGAGAGGAGAGAGAGAGAGAGAGAGAGAGAGAGAGAGAGAGAGAGAGAGAGAGAGAGAGAGAGAGAGAGAGAGAGAGAGAGAGAGAGAGAGAGAGAGAGAGAGAGAGAGAGAGAGAGAGAGAGAGAGAGAGAGAGAGAGAGAGAGAGAGGAGAGAGAGAGAGAGAGAGCAATATAAACAGCGAAAAAGGGGGAGTGTAGGGAGACGAGAGGAAAGAAGGAGGAGGGAGAAGGACAGGCAAGAGTTGAAAGGGGAGGGAAGAGAGAGGGGAGGGAGACAGGGAGGAAGGGGAGAGAGGGAAGGAGAGGAAGAGAAAGAAGGACGGTCAACATGTGCCTGTGTTTACATAGTAAGATGGAGAGTGGGGAGGAGTGTAAGAATGTTGGTGGTGGTGGGTGAGGGAGATGGTGGTGGTGGGTGAGGGAGATGGTGGTGGTGGTGGGTGAGGGAGAGGGTGTGGTGGTGGGGTGAGGGAGAGGGTGGTGGTGGTGGGTGAGGGAGAGGTGGTGGGGTGGGTGATGGAGAGGGTGGTGGTGGGTGAGGGAGAGGGTGGTGGTGGTGGGTGAGGGAGAGTGGTGGTGGTGGTGGGTGAGGGAGAGGGGTGGTGGTGGGGTGAGGGAGAGGGTGGTGGTGGTGGTGGTGAGGGAGAGGGGTGGGTGGGTGGTGGGTGAGGGAGAGGGTGGTGGTGATGGTGGGTGAGAGAGGGGTGGTGGTGGTGGTGGGTGAGGGAGAGGGTGGTGGTGGTGGTGGGTGAGGAGATGGTGGGGTGGTGGTGGGTGAGGAGAGGGTGGTGGTGGTGGTGGGTGAGGAGATGACAATGGTAATCATGAAAATATTGAAGGTTATCTGTTTTATTGAGTACCATTACCTGTACCATTGAGAGTACCATTATGTTACATTGAGTACCATTATGTTACATTGAGCACTAGTACATGATTTCCACAAAACCAGAGAGGAAAAGAGAGAGAGAAGGAGAGAGAGAGAGAGAGAGAGATATATAAAAAGAAGAGGGTGAGAAAGGAGACACAAAGAAAGAGAGCAAGAGAGAGAGAGAGAGATAAAAAGAAGAGGGTGAGAAAGAGAGACAAGAAAAGAGAGAAGAGAGAGAGAGAGAGATAAACATAGAAAGAAAGATAGTGAGAGAGAGACAATAAAAAGTAAGAAGGAGGGAGAGAGGAGAGATAGATGGAAAAAACAATGACTCACACACATAACACGACACTTGACAGAGGCATAAAGGAGTGACTCTCTGACAGGACAAGACTCACAGCTGGCTTGTCTCAGTCACGGCAGATGGTTGTGTTGATGCAGGTACTGGGCTGAGTGGGCATCTACCCAACTTATGTATTCGTGGCTTTATACGGCAAGGAGGTGTGGGTGATGGATGGGGTGGTGGATGGGTAGTGATAGGGTGATGGGGTGTTGGGGTGGTGGGGGTGATGGGGTGATAGGGTAATGGGGTGGTGGGGTGGAGTGATTGTGCACCCCATACTCACCCTATAAGAGGTAGCATAAAAGATTAGAGAGTAAAGGCCACAAAGGGTGTGTATAACAGACCTCAGTGGTCAGGATATTATGGCATTGAATGTTACAGAGGATTTCATAAACCTTGTTTAGTTCTGTACTTAGAGGGCGACTTATTCACAACTGAGTGAGTACAGGAGTGTGAGGCAATATGTCTGGCCGCACACTTTGTTATTCACATCTGCGTGAGAGGTATTCAAGCACATTGTTATCTGGTTCTATACATAGGAAATGATATAGCTAAGTGCAAAAATGTGGATTCGATCTTAATATGTCGGCTATTTTGCCATTAGATATAAAGTGTTGTGCCATTTCACACATAGTTTGCTTGGACCTGTCCCTAAAAGGTTCTATCTTCACACATGAGGACGCAGTGTTGGAGTGTGTACATATGTCTGGCCACACACTTTACATTTGTTGTTCACATCTACCAGAGGGATATACCACAGAGGTACTTATAGAGGTGGTGGGGTGAGGAGAGTGTGGTGGGGAGTAGGTAGGTGGGGAGACAGTGTGTAGGGAGACAGTAGGTGGGGGAGACAGTGGGTGGGAGACAATGTGAGGAGACAGTAAGTGGCAGGATGATGGTTGGCTGACGCACACTGTAAACACAACCACACACTCTCATCACCTTATCACGCAGTCCACTTTTGTGTGTGTGTGTGTGTGTGTGTGTGTGTGTGTGTGTGTGTGTGTGTGTGTGTGTGAGGACGAAAGCAGGCAGGTGAGAGCGACAGAGACTGATGAAAGGGCGAGGCAGTACAGGTAAGGGCGAGTGAGCAGAGGTGAGAGGCGAGGTAGCAGAGGTAAGGGCGAGCCAGTAGACGTAAGGGTGAGCCAGTACATTACCTTCGGGACCTCGCCACCAAACTCCTTTTACTTCACAAGGAATGGTTGATGAAACAACTTTGGGGGGGAATTACACGGGCATGGCCTTACTACAACACACACTGGTACACCCTCACCACAGCCCAGTGTTGTGTGTGTGTGTGTGTGTGTGTGTGTGTGTGTGTGTGTGTGTGTGTGTGTGTGTGTGGACGCTACATGGAAACTTTGGTTGGCACCTTGTAAACATCGCCCGGTACAACTTGGCCAATGCATGACTCGTTTCGCCTCAAGGACAAGGGTTCGACTCGGCTTCGGCAGCCCCAAATAAATAGAAAAGAAGAAGAAAAAACAAATTATACCAACCCTAAAATGATGACCTACATATAATTGAAAAAAAAATCTTAGTATAATATCAATTATAGTAAAACAGTTATTATACTGACCTGACTTTATTATACTGTAACACTGACTTAAGCCTTATAATAATTCCTGTATTGGTATTTCATGATAACTTAAAGAGAGGAAATGTATTCAAGTAACTGGTGTATATTTGTGTATAAATTGTATTATTTATATAGAGGTTAAGTCATAAGTAGAATAAGTGTTGTATGAAGTGTATCATACATGATTGTATGCTGTATAATGTATACTATATAAACCGTATTTTAGCTGAACAGTTAATAAACTAGGCGCTATATAAGTTGTATAAATGGTGTAATAGCACATCACAAGGAACATAAATCCTATATCTACTGTATTAGCTGACTGTATAACGTATAGCTTACGCATTAATAGATTACATATTATATAAAAAGTACAATAACTCACTGTATCATATAGCGATGTGTATTATCTAACTATATCCTACATAAACTGTGTATGAACCGACTACACACACACACACACACACTGTATACCTTTACCTGAACACTTGATAATCTACATAAATTAGTGTAGAAGACAGGTAAGCTCAGATAAGGTATTGCTAGTAGAGGGTCGCAGGTGAAGGCGCTGCTCTCACTACATACTAAGCTGGCTACGATGGCTATTGATGGCTATTTATGATGCTATTAACCTGGTTCATTATTTCCCACAGCAGAATTATGACATGTGGGGGAAGAGGGGGTTGGGGGGTGGGGGGATGAGGAGGATGGGAGGAAGGTCTTGGGGTTGGGGGTGGTTGATGGTGAAGAAGGAGGAGGAGGAGGAGGTAGGAAGAGAAAGAGGAAGGAGAGGGAGGAGGAGGAAGAGAAAGGAAAGAGGAGGAGGAGGAGGAAGAGAAAGAGGAAGGAGAGGAAGGAAGAGAGGAAGGAAGGAGGAGGAGGAGGAAGAGAAAGAGGAAGAGAGAGGAGGAGGAGGAGAGAGAGAGGGGAGAGGAGGAGGAGGAGGAAGAGAAAGAGGAAGGAGAGGAGGAGGAGGAGGAAGAGAAAGAGGAAGGAGAGGAGGAGGAAGAGAAGAGGAGGAGAGGAAGGAGAGGGAGAGGAGGAAGAGAAAGAGGAAGAAGAGGAGGAGGAGGAGGAGGAGGAGGAAGAGAAGGAAGGAGGAGGAGGAGGAGGAGGAGGAGGAAGAGAAAAGAGGAAGGAGAGAGAGGAGGAGGAAGAGAAAGAGGAAGGAGAGGAGGAGGAGGAGGAGGAAGAGAAAGAGGAAGGAGAGGAAGGAGAGGAGGAGGAGGAGGAAGAGAAAGAGGAAGGAGAGGAGGAGGAGGAGGAGGAGGAGGAAGAGAAAGAGGAAGGAGAGGAAGGAGGGAGGAGGAGACGTTAGGGAGAGAGAGGGTTAGGTGTGGAGGTGTTGGTGAGTTGGAGAAGAAGGAGAGGAGGGAGGTGTTGGTATGTTTTGGAGGAGGAGGAAGAAAAGGTTGATGCAGAAATAGAGTAAGGGGGAGGTATTGGTGTCTGTGTGTGTGTGTGTGTGTGTGTGTGTGGGAGGAATGGAGGAGGATAGATGAGAGGGAGTAGAGGGGTACAGAGAGAGAGAGAGAGAGAGAGAGAGTGAGAGAGAGAGAGAGAGGAGATGGAGATGTCACCCTCATCAAAAACCCACCCTGAAAATGCCCTGAACAAGACACAACAGGTGAGAAACATCATGTATGGGTCCCAGGGCATGGTGGGGCACCTGTACCCCCCTCGGCGTGACACAGAAAACGTCACAATACCCGAAAAAAAAAAAAGGGAGAGAGGTTGACTTGCATGATTCTACCCGCATGCCGCCCTCCCGCCTCTCCCCACCCCGCTCCTCCCCACCCATCCCCACCCAACCCTCCTCCCCCCCAACACACCTGCATCTCTTATTATAAATGTCTACAATATATTATCTTAGAGATGATTTCCCTGAGGTACCCTTCAAGAAAACTGAGG